CATCTGGGAAAACCCGAATCTGAAAGCTTCCCAGTTTTTCCCACCTAGTTGAAAGTTCAGGAACTTGCCCCCACAGCCACAAGTCCATCTCATGGTCCAATCTCCCACTGCCATGCTGGCAGCTTCCACCCATCCAGTTCCGGTCAGGTGCAAAGACAAAGGATGACCTTGGCTTTCTAGAAAGAATGTTGTTATGGGTACCTATCATCTAACTCCTTACAATCCCCCTTCCCATTTTTCCCACAGCAGAAAATGCATGGTAGAATAATAGAAAGTATGGCTGGCCAAAGACCCGAAAGAAAAGATGGCTGCAGGCCTGATACCAGGGCACGGTTTTTCAGAAATCTAGGGTACCGTAGGAGCACACATGAACACATGTTCCAAAGTAATACGATGCTGAGTCCAATTCCGCAGAGCCCAGATGTTAAGATGATCACTCTTTTGTGGACCAGCCAACTTTATCCATAAAAACACTGTAAAATTGTCCTGTGTGGCAGGGTTCCCCAACCCCCCCGATCTGCAGCCCGGTGCTAGGCTGTGGCCCATTGGGAAACAGACCACACAAGTGACGGGCAGGCGCACAAAGCCGCATTTGTGTAAGTGGTGCGCGTGCGCACACGAAACCATCCCTTCTTCAATCACTAACCTACACCACCACCCCCCGCCGCTGGCAGTCCAGAGCCAGAAAAATTGGAAATCACCGCTGTATCTTGCTTATTTGTTGTGTAGCTGCTATTTTCATTAACAGCTTCTCTTGTATTTTAGGTGCGGTTTATCACCAAAATTTGGCATCCTAATATTAGCTCAGTCACCGGAGCTATCTGTTTGGATATCCTAAAAGATCAGTGGTAAGGTTCCGCACGAAGTTTGGGTGGGGGGGAATCCTGCAAATAATTGCATTATATTTGTAGATACGGGAGGAAATAGTGATCCTTTCTTAGTCTACCATGATATTTGAAGTCTCAAACTGGCTATTGCTGCTCCCCAAATGATTTGCCAAAGTGCTTCTTACATTGTGAGTTTCGAACAGTTTTGATCACAGTTTCCGAAGTTTGATGGCAAACTATACCCTAAGCAAAAACGATGAAGCATCAAGGCAGAAGAAAAAAATGGGAGTATTTTCATTCATGCAACTTAATTTGGCCGTATAGCTGAACTCCTGAGACATGGAGAAATGTAGCAGTAATTTCATTTCTCAAGTATAGAAAGTGAACGTAAAGAAACTCTGCTTTGTATCGGATGCTATCACTTTTTTGATTTGATGTGTATAGCTGCCCAGAGGTCCAATATATAATGTATACATATATTTTAACCACTGATATCGCCCTCCTATAGTAACCACCTTTAGTAAGCCAGTTACTAGAAGCTAGAATATCACTGTAGCTTCATTTTGAGCAGAAAAAGAAAAGAAAAAAATGTAGAAATAAGCAGGGTTAATAGCCAAGAAAAATGGGATCAAGCAAAAAGTTGTTGCGTAGAAAGAGTTTAGCCAAGTGAATATTATGCAGTTGATAATTTTTGACTTAGATAAAGGTAAAGGTTCCCCTCGCACATATGTGCTAGTCATTCCCAACTCTAGGGGGCAGTGCTCATCTCTGTTTCAAAGCCAAAGAGCCAGCGCTGTCCGAAGACGTCTCTGTGGTCATGTGCCTGGCATGACTCAATGCCGAAGGCGCACGGAACGCTGTTCCCTTCCCACCAAATGTGTCCCTATTTTTCTACTTGCATTTTTACATGCTTTCGAACTGCTAGGTTGGCAGAAGCTGGGACAAGTAACGGGAGCTCAGTCCGTTATGCGGTGCTGGGGATTCGAACCGCCGACCTTTCTGATCGACAAGCTCAGCATCTTCGCCCCTGAGCCACCGCGTCTCAGGTGGTGATTTTTCTGCCAAAGGGATATTACAGTGGTCTGGTCTTGTACTAGCTAACAGTCTGTTACATCTTGATGTTACCTATCTCAGTCACGTCCTCATTTTCCGACCTTATCTTTCCAGGGCCGCAGCGATGACTTTAAGAACAGTGTTGTTATCCTTACAAGCCCTCTTGGCGGCTGCAGAACCTGACGACCCACAAGATGCAGTTGTGGCAAATCAGGTACCACCGCTATTCCCTTTCCTTTTAGAAAATCCACCTTGAGTTTCCAAGGTTTTCTCCAAACCCACCCAACCCTCCAGGAAGTGGGGGTTTTAAAAATCTGGAAACCAGCATGAAAAAAGAAAGATGCTTTTTCACTCTGCGTTGAAGAGTATTTATCACATGTCTCCACAGCTACAGATTTCCATAAGGTTTCAATTTGTCTTCCCCCTTTTTCTCCTTTGACACAGTACAAACAGAATTCAGAAATGTTTAAACAGACAGCTCGACTTTGGGCGCACGTGTATGCTGGAGCACCACTTTCTAGTCCGGAATATACCAAGAAGATAGAAAATCTTTGTGCTATGGGATTTGATAGGGTAAGCCTCGCTTCGCGTAAGGCCTGCTATCTTCAATGTTACCAAGTGTGGTAAAGGGTTGGGTTTTTCAAACCAAATCTGCTTTCCTAAGATCCAGAATTAGAGCTACCTAACTGTTCCGACCCAGGCTTCCCCAGCCGCACGAAGCCCAGTCCTCGTCCCGATAAACCCCTTTTATTTAATGTACAGTGAATTCCCCTCCAGGAAAGTCTTTCCTCTCCCACAGTCTTTCAAGAGAGTTCACAATGACAACTTTTATCGGGCTTGGAGAGTGGCCAGGCCGAGATCTTTCAGATGCTGCAATACTTGGCAAGAATGCAGGAATTAACTAATTGTCTTCTGAAAACTCCCCTCCCCTTTTGCTCCTCTATTATTAGTGGGGTGTTCTCTGCTATTTAAAAGAAGAGACGATAGCACTGGGCCTCTTCAGATCAAGCATTTATTTTAAAAAAGCTTCTTCATTTTGTTAAGTTGCCTAGAACAATAATAAAGCAGCCTTTAAAAAAATAAGTCTCATAATTTGAACATTCTATAGACATTTATAGTTATTGATTTACCTCCTTGCAGCAAACAGCCTGTTTTAATTTAGCCTGATTAGAAAAAAAATTCTGCCTCTGGCCTCCCAGCAATTTGCCTCCTTGCAGCAAACAGCAAACAGCCTGATAAGCACGAGAAAAAAAAATCTGCCTCTGCCTCCCAGCAATTTGCCTCCTTGTAGCAAACAAGGAAGGAGCCGAGGTGGCGCAGTGGTTAGGGTGCAGTACTGCAAGCCACTTCAGCTGACTGTTATCTGCAG